TTGATAACTATGGACTGACTCAGCATGTGACGGAGCCCACGCACAATAAGGGGCACACTCTGGACTTAATGATCTCAAAGGGTCTGAATATCTCTAAGGTTGTGGTGACTGATGTTGCGCTCTCTGATCATTCCTGTGTTTTCTTTGAGAGCTCTATTTCTGTTCACACAAATGTTCAAAAAGAGGTAACCACAAAGCGATATTTAACTGAAAACACTAGGGAAATGTTTACTCAGGATGTTTCTTCCACACTTGCCCCTGCTAACATCTCAGTAAATGAGCTAGTAGATCATTTTAATTCAAAAATTCTAAATGTTATAGATGCCATTGCTCCAACTAAGGTAAAGGAAGTGACTGGGAAGAAAATATCTCCATGGAGAAAGGCCATGACCGTGAGAGCAGAAAAAAGAGAATGTCGAAAAGCTGAACGCAGGTGGCGAAAAACAAATCTCCAGGTTCACTTTGAAATCTATAAAGAGAGACTTGGCCTTTATAATTTGGAATTGAAAAACGCACGACAATCGTTCTTCTCTGACATCATTACCAAAAACAAAAACAACGCACGTGCCTTGTTTGCTACGGTGGACAGACTAACTAACCCCCAGTGTCAGTAGCCTCTGAATTTCTATCCACCAGGGCGTGCAATGATTTTGCCTTCTTCACTGACAACATTCAGAACATCAGATAAGCAGTCAGTGCCTCTGCATCAGGAACAGCAAATGTGTTGTCCCTATCTCCACTTAACATCAATACAGACATCATGACACAAGTTCCATCAGATTAATGATAAAAACCTAGAGGACATTATTCAACTTCTGAAATCCTCCTCCTGCTGCCTTGATATTATTCCAACAGGATTTTTCAAAGATGTTTTTCCTTGCATGGCCTCAGATCTACTTCATATAGTAAACAAATCTCTTCACTCAGGTATTTTTCCACAGGCCCAGAAAACTTCAGTCATTAAACCGCTCTTAAAAAATAATAATCTAGATGCTTCAGTAATGAACAATTACAGGCCCATATCAAACCTCCCATTTCTAGGTAAGATCATTGAAAAAGTTGTTTTTCAACAGTTGAGTAATTTCTTGCATTTAAATAACTGTTTGGATGTGTTCCAGTCAGGCTTTCGTCCAAACCACAGCACTGAGACTGCTCTTGTAAAGGTCTTTAATGACATCCACTTAAACACAGACAGTGGCAGAACTTCAGTGTTAGTATTATTAGATCTCAGTGCTGCGTTTGACACTGTTGACCACAGCATATTACTAGACCGACTAGAAAACGTATAAAAGTTAGCGCTGAGCTTCAGTCTGCAATGTTCAAAACAACAGATAAAGCCAGAAATCTAGGTGTAGTCATGGACTCTGACCTGAGTTTCAACAGTCACATTAAAACAGTTACTAAATCAGCCTACTATCACCTAAAGAACATATCTAGGATTAAAAGACTAATGTCACAGCAGGATCTGGAAAAACTTGTCCATGCTTTTATCTTCAGTAGACTGGACTACTGTAATGGTGTCTTCACAGGTCTCACTAAAACATCTATTAGGAAGCTGCAGCTGATTCAGAACGCCGCTGCTCGAGTCCTCACTGACACTAAGAAAGTGGATCACTCCTGTTCTGAAGTCTTTACACTGGCTTCCTGTGTGTCAAAGAATAGATTTCTAAATACTGCTGCTGGTTTATAAAGCACTGAATGGTTTAGGCCCAAAATACATTTCTGACCTCCTGCTAAATGATGAAGCATCCAGATCTCTCAGGTCTTCAGGGACTGGTCAGCTTTCTGTCCCCAGAGTCAGAACTAAACATGGAGAAGCAGCGTTCAGTTATTATGCTCCAAATATCTGGAACAAACTCCCAGAAACCTGCAGGTCCGCTGCAACTCTGACAACTTTCAAATCCAGCAAGAAGACTTTTCTTTTTGTCGCCGCTTTTAATTGAACTATTCATATCTTAAACTGCACTGTAACTTTTATCCATGTACTTTTTCTTTAATGTTTATTTTATTAGCTTTTCTTTTTAATGACTGATTTTAAATGCCATTTTCTTAATGTCTTTCATTTTTTGTAAAGCACTTTGAATTGCCTTGTGTTGAAAGGTGCTATATAAATAAACTTGCCTTGCCTTGTGTGTGTGTGTGTGTGTGTGTGTGTGTGTGTGTGTGTGTGTGTGTGTGTGTGTGTGTGTGTGTGTGTGTTGTACATTCCTGCTTTTTTTACTTCTTGCACCACAATTCTTTCTCAATGTTCTTCCAATGAAACTGGTTGTGTGACTTCCACAGAACTGATCAAAACATTCACACCTGTGTGGAGGTGTTTTCCATCTGCAGGATGAACATTTCAAACCTTTACGTAACGAGATTGGTAAACAGAATACACTCATACCCATTCATTTCCTATGGCGGTCAATTCTGACCGAAAACATCACGGGTGTTTCACTGTTGAATAAATCACTAAACAAATCAATGCAAGTGGTGATCATCAAGTGTATATGTGCAGAAGCCTAGTGTGGAGGATAATCTAAGGTCTTGAGGCAATTGGATGAAAAACACAATATTTATGATAAAAAAACAAAGTCACTTGGTCACTTTTGACCCAAAACGCAAGAAAAGGGTTAAGGGGGGGGGGGGGGGTTGAAATGGGGAAAGTAATATAGTAATATAACAAATAACGTCTTTAATTACTTTTGAGACCAAGTAATACGTTTATATTATTACGTTTATATAGCAATACGTTTATCGTTTTTAAAGGAGAAATATTTGCATAGTAACTTATTATAGATTTGAACCTCAGGGCAAACAACGGTATAGTTTTCTTTCTAAATGATTAGTTAAACTTTCGCCATTGCATTCGGTAGCAGTTTTGCTTAACCAAAAAACAGCTCAAGAATAAGTATGGATATCAGAACGTGGGTTTATAATAAAAGACAAAACACCATAGAGACCCCAGCAGATTCGATCCAAAGCAGCCCCAGCTGATGATAATGAATGATTGCCATGGGTTGGTTGGCTGACTGATGCCAGAGTATAGAAGAACATCCAAGTTCTTTGCTAACGCTGTCTCAAATTGCATATTACTTTTTGTAGTTGTAGTAGGTACCTACTTCAGCTGCACTTGCAAAGTATGTTGCATGCATTTTTGCCATACTGCATTTGACATGGTTTTGGGATACGCTTAATCTTTTTCTGGCTTATCTTTAGCTATATATAATAATATAGTAAATATCTTGAGACGCAGGCTCTGCCTACCCTGCCATTTACCTCACCGCACGTCACCGCTACTGACACTTTGACAAACTGATTAAAGGGACTGACGAAATGTGCTCCTAGTTCAGAATCATTTTTTTGGGGAACTCACTAAAATATGTAATATATTCACAAAGAGAGGCACCTGGACCCATCATAACCTACGTTACTTAATCTACACATCCCTATAATACATTAGACATTTGCCAGGAAGCGCAAAACGTGTTAACCAACTATTCATCTCTTGAGAAAATTAGGACGGATCCCAACAATCCTAGCCAAGACCACCCCTTTGCAAGCAACAACATGATGAAGAATGTTTATTCTGCATTGCCCCACACTTGTTACTCGAATGAACAAAGCCTTTCTTTTCCACTAACCAATGGCAAGAAGCGTCAAAATCATGGGTGTGTTCTGATCAAAGTATAAATGTTTGAGCATCATCTGGGATCATCACCATTCCCACATTTCCCAGCTCTTCAAACAAGGTGAGGATAAATCATTATAATACAAATTATTATCATTATGATTTGCATTATTGTATTATGTACAAACTAGCAAATAAATGTGTATTACCGTTCACTCTGATCTGTATGGTGTGTCTCAGTAGACTGATCAAAACCAGCTTTTCAATTAAAATGTTTCTCCAATATCTGATGTAACATTGAAATTGCGTGCGTACTTAAGACAGCCAGCATAATCAGTCTAAAACCACTGGATACAAAGTTAGAAGGACATCACAGTGTAGGAGATGCATACCATTCATACAGCAAGGCAAGTTTGGGAAAGCACGGGTCAGGTGAGCAACTACTTTCCAAGTATTTTAGTAGGTTATAAAAAGCACAACTCAAACTGTGCGAGTTACCGTCAACTGTAGGATAAAAACAACAAAGCCTGTGAAATGTATTAACCAATGACAAGAACCCTCAGTATTATGGGTGGAGCCTGCCTGAAGCATAAATATTAGAGCATCGTCTTTGATTATAAACATTCATATACAGACTTGTTGAAACTACTTACTACTCAAAATCCTTTAATTTACATAAATACAAAGCACGTTATGTTATTGTTTAGATCACTGCTAGCCAGTTCAAAGGGTCACCCCTTAAATAATGGCCAGCCTAGGAATGATGCATCATGTATTAAGATCCCCTTGGTTGGGCTTATTCTGCCACTTAATGCTACGATTTCTTCGGCCGACATACTTTAACAGCAATGCCAGCTTAGCCACAAATTGAATAGAATTAGAATAAATAGAATTAAAGGATTGTGCTTTTCTTCAGAACAAACTGAAGAAACGGTGTTCAAATGCGTCCATTGGGCAATGTATTGCTAGTCCCCTACTGGCCAGAATTATAGCAATGCCAGCGCCACATTTTGCAGTTTCTACAGTAAATTGAGATACCCAAATTACATACTTCAAGGGACAGTTAGCTCCCCCTTTTCCACCAACAAGAACCTAGAGCCAGTTCAGTGCTAGAGCCTGTTTATCTTGGTTCAAGTAGCGACCCTTCTATGACTTAATGAAGTGGCTCTCTAGCCCCTGGAAATGTAAGCAGTATACTTCTCTGCTCTCCACATAATGCTAGCCCCAATTACTGAGCACCACAACAATGGAAAAAAACTAGATTCCGTTTTAACTGAACCTGCTTTTTTAACTTCTCGTGCCTCTTACCCATGTTGTACTTATTCAAATATGTGCTTGCATGCTCTTCTTCCAAAGCAGCACCCCCCTTGCATTTTTCCATTTTTGGCAGTGAAATAGTGGAATAGTTGAAATGTTGCCCAATTGCAGTGCTTACCAATCGCAATGCCGGCCGTCCAATCAAAGTTTAAAATACTAATATTAAAACATTACCTTTGGAATAAATTGTATATTTAATATTTTTCAATAAAGTTATTTAAAAAATGCTGCTCTTTTTTAAATTGTGTGTGACTCATCTTCCTAGCTAGTGTAAGGAAGAAGGTGGGGGGACTAGCTTTATGTCGAACGGAGAGAAGCATGTGGTAGATCATGAGTAGTTGTCAAATACAGCTACTCTACACATTTGTTTCTATCATTGCTCATTCAAATAACTAACTACAATATGTGTTTCGCATTGTAACATGACTCTGAAGCGGTGCTTGGTCTTAAACCAGCAAAGAATTGGGGCCACCATGGAACCCGTTTTCCCGGCCGAGAGCCGGTTCTTTGGCGGTGGAAAAGCAATGAACAGGTTTGAGATTAGGCTCCAAACTAACCCTGGAACTGCTTTGGTGGAAAAGGGGTATGAGCTGCTAAAACAATATATTTAGTTGTTTATGCTAAATTAAGTAAGTATATGGACAACAAGTTTGGGTAGTAGTATCAAGTGAACTTCCCGTCATTTTTGGACCATTTGCATTGTTTATTCACTGTGTACCGTAATGCCTATAGATCATTGCGCAAACCAAATTCATTTCGCAGGCTAGAAAAAGCTGCAGTTTAAACAATTCTGAAAATGTTTTCAATCACGCATTAGTGAGACAATTTCTCAACTAATTTGACACTCTAAAAAGCTACGTTATCCACTCCAGCCTACAGTTTTAGTTTAGGCCAGCCCAGTATACACCCTATATGGGGGGTTTCCAAAATAAGTAGCACTCCTTCCTCGTGCATGGGATGTGAAGCCGTGAGCCATCCGGTATCACAGGCAGGAAGACTGGAAGGAGCAGAGCTTATAAGGCCAAGGCATATTGGAATGCTTAATTGCAACAAATTGATAAATATTCAATATACAAGTACTATCCTGACTCAAAAAAATAAAAAGATCAACAATCGTCTTTCAAGTGTTTCTCCAATATCTGATGTAACAATGAAATTGCGTGCAATTCCATGCTGAAAATCTAATTTTCTTGACATTTTAAACACATTATTTAAATATTTAAAGCAGTGGTATTTAACTGAACATTTCCATTTCAGATCTTATCTAAAACCTACAAGATGGCTTATCCAACAACCTTGCATCAAATCGGTGGCAACGGTGGTCGATCGTTTTCCTTGACTGGAGAGAAAACTGGAGCCACGCTAAAGCAGCTGAATGTGTGGGTAGGAGACTCGCAGGTGAAGGGTGTCCAAGTCTACCTCACAGATGGAAGTCATGATCTTTTGGGGGAACGATCTGGTTCTAGTGAAGAGTATACATTTCAGCCTGGGGAGTGTTTCACCTCTCTGTCGCTGTGGGGGAATGGAGAAGGTTCTCGTCTAGGGGCCATCAAATTCAAGACAAATCGTTCCGGAGAGTTCTTCGCCAAAATGACCAGCTGGGGATTGAAGACAGAATACCCCATCGATATTGGCTCTGGAATCTGCTTCGGGGTTGCTGGAAGATGTGGCGGTGCCATTGACTGCATGGGCTTCATATTCCTCAATGCTGTCAAGAGAACCGTTTTGATGGACGTCAACTACCCAACAATGAGCCAAGTTGTACCGCAGGTGACTGTAGAAGAAATCAAATCCATCACCTACGACAACAACACCACAGCCGACCAAGTCAACCAGATTGAATCCTCCAAGAAGATTACAAAGAAGTCCTCTTGGACTGTGACCAAGCGCATGGAGGCAACTTTCAGTATAGAAGTGAGTGCAGGAATTCCAGAGGTAGCGGAGGTTACAACTGGATTCAGCTTTACCGCGGGAACAGAGAGCTCTTACAGTCTGGAAAACACTGACGAGAGAACGGAGACGGTATCCTTTACCATAAATGTTCCTGCAGGAAAGAAGGTGAAAGCTGACATTACAATCGGTCGAGCCACCATTGACCTGCCTTACACTGGCACTGTGAAAATGACCTGCAATAATGGCAGCGTGCTTCAGTATGCCACCAGTGGTGTATACAAAGGTCTTACCTACACCGAAGTTAAACAAATTGTTACAGAAATGTAGAACAAACAACGAAAGCAATGTACATGTACATGCCTGATTGCCTTTGCTTTTTACTTTACCATGATTATTTTACTTCATTGTTAGGAACATCAAATACATTTGACTTTATCACTGCATTTGTACTTTAAGTTACTTATTACTTATTGGTTAGTTAATGACTTGTTGTTTTAAGAACTTGCCCTTAAATAAAATGTCTGTTGGACACGTTCTTAGCAGCAATGAGATGTTTTTGACAGATTTGAATATCATATTATTACAATTAATTTGGCTTGTAGCGGTAGACTTCATCTTATATGCGCTGTGGAGTCTATTTTTATATAACATTACAAGATTCTTATTATTACATTATTTGCTTATTGTGCTCATTGTATGTGCTGTGACTTAGGAATAAATGGACCCAATCACCCCCCCCCAAGTTTTGATGGGGTGGACAGGAACGAAGGGAAAAGTTACATGAGAAAGTGTTTAGCTTGCAATATTGAAGGTAGCAAGGTCGAGTGCAGAGACTGAGAGAACACAAAGAGGTAGTCAGAACAGCACATCGCACCGGCCTTCACTTTGTATGAGAGCCGCGCTCCCCCGCAAAGCTAGGAAGCAACATTATGGTTTCCCGCTATATCTGAAGAAACGTTAGAGAAAACAAATGAGTATGATGGTGCCAGAGTAGGGAGGGACTTCCACAGGCCGGCCGAATGCTGATTGGAGGATCGTGTTGCCAAGAGACTCTATCTGAGTCTGTGCACCAACCAAAGAGAACCAAGTCTAAACCACGGTATCTCTTCAGCTAGTCTTGACCAATCATAAATGTACGGGCAACGCCCTGTGTGATCAAATGTATTGTCGCACGAGGTTCGAGGCTCTTGACGGATTTGGTGGTTACAGATTACAGCTTTGCTGCCTGTGATTCCCGGAGACGTGATGAGTCCTTGGCCAAGTGATATATATCTTTTGCTCTCTTTACAATAAATAGTTCAACTTAGAAGTTGTCTGTCTTTTCTGGAATTCTGAACCCAACAGCGCCGCAATTCTTTTTTCAAAATGCTACACAATAACATATTTACAAGAATCAGCTCTGCATTCAAGTCATTTACTAATAACATTCACCTACTATGTGCAGTGGCGACTGGTCATTAGGGGCAGGTGGGCACAGCCCCACCTAGTGTCAGCAGAATGTATTAAAAGTAATGATTACAAAAAAATGCAAAAAATAAATTAAAAAATATATAAAATATATTTTAAGATCATGTTTAATCATCTGATTCGTCTCATTGCTGTTTTAGTCTGTGTTCTTCTAGTTAGTGTCTACAGTGTGTGCCTATTGAGCTGTTTAGAGCCATGTGGGACAAAACCCGATCCTGCCCCTCCCTCTCCCTGTTTAAGTCAATGGTGACTGTAAAAACTACACTGCTCAGAGGATTGTCCTATTTAATGTGTGTGGCAAAACAATAATGACCACAGGGGCATAGAGCTGCCATCCCCACCATACGTCATCTCACATCATTCAGAGCTGATTGGCTGTAAGTACGTGTGCCGCGAAAAGTGTGGTGTGTGAAGAGGAGACGAGAGAGCTGCAGTGACGCGTCCACTTTTTTTTTTGTGCCCCACCACTTTAGTACATATCAAAACGCCACTGCGTATGTGCATTTTCTGGAAATATGTCAGTCTATGCAAAATGGTTAGGTTCAACTATGCCACACTTATAAACAATGCTAAAAACTAAACACGTCTATAGAGGCTCCACATTAACTGGTTTTAGCAAAAGAACCTCAGGATAAAAAAGTTACAAGACACACAAGTAAAACACAGGTTCTCCTATTTCTTCAGTAAACCGTGACTTGTATTGAAAGTGACCGCTTTCCAGAGACCAGAGCTTCATTATAGAGTTTGGGAGTAGTGTAGCAGAATGGATGCCCCAGACCATTCTGTGACACTAGGAGAGTGGACATTTCAAACCGTGGTCTGGAGAATGACAGGGGTCATGTCAAAAACTGAATAACGTGCCATTGCAAGAGCAGGCGTAGACCCTAGGCTTATGAGGCAACAGAAACAGAAACAAAGGGTATCACATCATCTATTAAAAAAACTGCAATCTAAAGTATTATATTCTATTTTTGTGTGTTTTATTGTGTTTTATTGCATTTACTTTTACTATATAAATTGTACAGCACTTTGGTCAACTGTTTTAAAATGTGCTTCATCAATACATTTGACATTGTCATTGACATAGTCTTTTCTATTCTGTTCACCCCAATGATTTTACAGAAAACTAAACCAAAGAAAGCGTATGAATAACTGTTGTGTGGTGGTAGCACTACACTCTAAAAACAAATGCCTTGGCTCAACAAAGAAAATCAATCAACAGTTTGCATCGATGTTTATTGAGTTAAGACAACTTCTAATGAAATTGTCTTAAGGCAACAAAGTTATTTGAGTTAGGGGAGAAGGCTTTCCCTCTACAGTCAGAGGTGTTTTTAATTACCACTTACAATAATTGGAGCATAAACACAAGTTTTGAAGTTAAGTACTCAAAAATGAAGTTGCTCCAACTTGTTTTACCGTATGATTTAAAAGGAATTGTAAGTTGTATGTACTTAATTACCATCATTGTGAACACACGTTTTTAAGTTGACAGCCATTTATAAATGAAGTTGCTCCAAATATATTTTATTCAATAGTTTTTTTCTTAGCTTTTTCATGTTTTTGCCTTTAAAGAAAGAAATTAATTGATTCCACAACAAAAGTATTAGGCAATTCACTTTTTATTTTGAACTGCAGTTGTTTATTTCAACACATGATGTTTCAATCAGGAGAGACTTCATTTAGTTGGAACATGTATTGACACATGCCATGATAAGGTGCATGCACACCTGAAATCACAGCTGACTGCAGGAGAGAGGAGAACCATTTTAAAGTCTGGCTGCAGCTTGCTGATTGGCTGCTGGAGAATGAGGTGAAATGTAATAGGTTAAAGAGAACGCCTGTGATGAGCTGATTATATGCAGCTGCGGAGTGAATGTATACACACCCAGTCTTCCTGAAAGAACTTGCACTGAGCTTCATTTCAATCTTGAAAAAAAGATAAATAACACATTTAAATTGCCCCACAAATAATAAATAAACACATTAGCCATATTACCATGGGACATAGCAAATACATGCTGCCATCACATCGAAGTTAGAGGCCTTTGCATATTTAAAACCAGTCCCAAATTTGTAACATCTGTAAAAAATAATTTTTTTAACTATTAGAAAACGAAGGCTAAAGCTAACGTTAGCAGATAGTGACAATGTATGCTAGTTAGCTTGCTCAACGATTCATTAAATAATATTGCGACAGAAAAACTTTTCAGTGCACGCTCTGCGCTCCGACAGGGAGCTCTGCTCTGAACGGCCCGTTCTAACAGCTGTTCACCAGCGGTCCAGTCTGTACCACAGTGACTCCGAACCACACAGTTCATATTAACGAACGCACCCGTAGGTAATGTAGCTGCTGAAGCTAGACCCTCACCGCGGAGCAGCAAAGCCTTATAATACATCCATGAGCAGAGCCGACAGGCAGGAAGACTCGAGCACACAGCTCGCGCTTCATTATAATATATAAAAAAAGAACACCATGCGTGTCATGATGGCACATAACAGCTCGCGGCCGCAGATTACTCCGGGTCCCAGATCCCCCCATACCCCAAAAATATTTTTATTGCAGATCTACATAAATCACACAAACGACCTATTTTGGATTCAAAACGGCGAATTTTGCCGAAAGGTGACAAGTTTGCATCCCTGATGGCAAACCACTGTGCGAACATCAGCACCAAATGAACATTTCCGTTCGCTAACGCGCTCACGGAGAAGTATAAACCAGGCTTTTCCTGCTATCCATTTTTGTTCTTGAAGTTCTTGAAGAGTAGGTTGACGGAATTCCGGTAAAAAAAATAGGCTATTTAACTCCAGCTAATTCGTAACAAACCGAGTGTTTTCGGCCGTCTCCACTCAACATATATGGTACCCAGTGCTTGAATTGGAATGAAAAAGGTGCCAGTACTCTAAAATCAGCAACTTTCTCAAGTCAATTTTATATATACAGCCCACAAACAAGAATTTGGCTACTATAATGCTGGTGGGTTTGTCTCTTTACTACTGTATATTTTAGAAAGGTTCACTGTACTTAACATTTTTTATGATAGGCAGCGGATATGGCTAAAGCTCAGTAAGGTCAATATTAACTGAAAATATAGCAATCAAAGTCTAGATCTTCTGCTGAAGACACATGAAGCAGAGACCTTTCAGGTGAGAGCCCCTCTGGTGGTGTTCAACATTAATGACAAGAAAACAAAGCTCTGGTCAGAAGCATTTTTTATAAAAAGCTTTAACAAAATTAAGTATTTCTGTACATTTTGAATGCAATCTAACTTTCCAACTCAGAAAACGAAAAAGTGCCAAAAGTCTTCTCACATGGCTGAGCTGCTTTGCAATATACTTCACCACTGAAGAATACAAATATGTATAAAGTAAACTATGATGCAATCTAACTTTCCAACTCAGAAAAATGATAAAGAGCATGAACAAAGAACATGTCAAAACAAATGCAAAATTTGCACAATCTAAAATGAGAAACTGTAACTGCAAGTAACAAAGTCTGAGCCATGGTAAAGAGTTACATTGAACACCAAGCTGATCAGATAACTCCCTGGTTGGTCTGAAGTCCTTCTATCTCCAGGATCTGTACAAATCGGCACATTGTGCCAAAAGTCTTCTCACTGGGTGAGCTGCTTTGCAATATACTTCACATTGTTAGAAAAGACTCCAGAAGGCCTTGGGGACATCAGTATCAGGGGCTGGAGCTGGACAGGCTCTTTCATCAGCACTTCTCCTTCCCTTTGCCAGCCAGGACCTCACATACTGTTCCGGATTGAACTGTCCTAGTGATGGTCCATTACATTTAATGAAACCAGGCTGGACAGTCGGCTGACAGAGAGAGCATTCCTTTTTGCAGTAAGGATATCGTTCATGCAGCTGAATGCCCGCTCACACTCACTAGTGGAGACAGCGATGGTTCGGACTGCTTTCAGTAGAGGCTCCATGGCAGCAGGTGTACGGGAAGCCCTGGTTTCCTTGTATTCGCGAAAGCCCTGAACAGTCTCTCTTCTGTCCACTTTCAGCACTTCGCACAAACGTAGCACCTCTACGTCCCCATACTGTACGTCTAACTCCTCTTCAGGCCAACTTCCAGGATGGATAACTTTCATGTCCTGGATTAGCTGATTGTCCCGGGCCTCCCGGCCATGTAATGGGATTTCTCTTGTGCTGACATGAGAGGAGGTTGTGGAAGTCATTCTGTGTCTCAGATTCTCTACCATACTGCGGAAAAACTGACCTGCATGAATCTGTACAAGCCTGCCATTCTCACGCAGGGCAACACCCTTGAAGGACTTCTCAGCTAGAGCTGTATGAACTGTAGTCATGTGTGGGCCAGGCATGGTGACCATGGATTCAAAAACTCGTATTTCTCGAGTTAAGAGCCTATCTGCTGTAGGCAGTGTCATCTCTCTTTTTTGGAGTTGCCGAGAGAGGTCGCTGAGCTCTGTGAGCGCATCGTACATCAGTCCCAGATTGCTGACAAACGTTGCAGATGTGAGCACATCATCCAGGCCCTTGTACTTTGCTCTGTCTCTGGAATCCCTGCTCGTGTCGTTTGCAGCATTTGTGAAGTGATCATGAAGCACTCGGTAGTTTTCCCAGACTGCTCTAACGCTCCTTTCACTTGAAGCCACCCAGCGGATGGACAAAACACGCCCTATCACCAGGAGACGCTGTCCGACTGCTTGCGCACACTGCGCTAACTGCCTCTGATTTTTGGGGGAGGCATGGAACAAGGAATAGAGTTTGTCAAAAAAGATCTGGAAATGATTGAGCCCTGAGACCTCCTTGACCACATCCCCAACTGCCAGCTCTAGACGATGATTGGAGCGGTGCCACACA